CTTTAAATGAGGCAATGACCTCATTGCTTCAACATAAAACAGGAAGTCACATAAAAGGACCCAACAATCTCATATGATGAACTAATCCACAAGAGCACAAAAGAAAAGACAAGGGAAAGAACAACTCAAAAAAGATTAAAAGGAAAGGAAAAAAGAGTGTACAAACCGAAGATGCCTCGAGGAGAAATAGCATGCATGTGCAAGTCACTCGCCTATGCTCAGCCTCGAACCTCGTTATTCCTCTTGTGCAAGCTCGCAAATAGTACCTGTCGAGAAAACCACAAAGCTCCAACCTCCAATTATTAAAATATAAAACTAAAAGAGCAAATATAAAAATATCTAGAAAAGCAGTAGATTTCTTGGGTTGCTTGTTTAACGTCATTAGTTTAACGAAACTAGTGGGGAACTCAACCGGGATCTAGAAAGAAGTGACGGTCGTGCCACGCCTTTGTATTTTCCAGAAGTGGTAGCATGGGAAGTTCGGCGAGAAGGCTGGCGCAGTGGATCCGAGTGGCGATGTTCTGGGTGAAGCGGGTTTGGGCACGAGCAATACCCAACTTTAAACGTAGAGCTTTTCCCACTCGAGCTCTATCGCCAACCTCCGAAAATATAAGCTCATAAGTAGAGCAAGTCGAACTGAATGCTTCCCACCTCGTATCACAGTGTAAGGGCCTCGAAGATGGATGCTCCAACTCAGAAGTGAGAGGAGAGACATGAGAATCAAGCCCGTGGGTCTTCTCCTCTGAAATAAAATCAATGTCTCGCTCGAGCTCATCATCTTCTTCTTCAGCCTCACACATTTGCTTCATCGTGTGGGCTTGAGTATCAAGCATGAGGTGGGGGTCGTCGACTTTTGCCTCGATAGAGCCGGTATGTGCTGCAAGAGTCTCAATTTTCGTGCTCACTCTAGCACATCCGAGCTCAATGTCCACATCTCGAGTAGTCAGGGCAGATATGCATGCAAGGATGAGGTCGAGTTTTTCATCGTATGACAAAACAGCCTCCCGAGATTCATCTCTATGTGTAGACTCGCCTTGAGCGGTGGGCTCGGGAGTGACATCATTAACTCGATCCTCTAAGGCTTGCACGCGCTCCACAAGGTTCTCGATTTCGGATTCAACATTGTTCCTACGGGCCGCTTGGGAGGCTAAAAGAGCGAGGACCTGGTCGAGCTTGGCATTGTACCCTGAAGAGTCCTCGAGGGACTCATATGACCAGGAATACCGCTGCTGCTCATAGGGATGTGACCAAGTCTAGCCATAGTCCCAGTATCGTAGAATGGAGGTAACTGGTTCAGAATGGCATACCGGGCTATGGTTTCTCCTTCCTTAGCTAACCGGGATTATGCGAAAGCATAGATATGGTCGAGCTTCTCGTTGAATTCGTGGGACTCATAATATTGTTCGCCCAGGAGGGGTCCAATCGGAAGGGAACGAATATGGCTGGTAGTGATGCCCAGTGGAATAGCTCGGCGCGATACCCCAAGATTGGGTGTGCGAATAGGGGAACACACTGTTATAGCTCATAATACCTGCACACCAAAACTAAAAAACACGTGAAGCCACGAAAAGAGAAAAAAAAAAA